TGATGCCGCGCCTTTATTACGTAAGTCTTATCTTATGTATGAGTTGCTTCAATATATTTTATGTTTTCACTATTGTTTTATGGTCACTAATATGTTATTAATAATTTAAATAAATGTCACTATTTCTTTTCTAGACTATTACTTAATTGATTATTAATTATATATATTGTTAAACTGTAGTTTCTGTAGATGTACTCGAAAATATAATGCGTTTTATAATGATTGTGTAATGATTAATAGACTCAGGCAAATTGAGCTGCTGCTGAAAAAGAGATGCTGCTTGAAAGCCCTTATATATTATCGCACTATTTCTCAAATGCTAATGTTTGTTACCATGACGACATTGGTCGTGACGTCATTATGGCATAGCCTGGAAAGTTCGTTGCTAGCATTTTGTTTAAATAGCTGAATTGCGCTTTCATACCTCTCCCACTTTTGACTTTCAATTTTCTTTAATCCGTAACAAGAGTTAAATATAATAATTACCAATTATTATATAAAAGAAAGGAGAAATGAGTGAATAAAGAACAGTAAGTAACTTGGGTGGTAATTGAATAATAATTTACATCGAGAATGATCTAAGATTTGCTATACTTTAAAAATTAAATAGAAAATCTTTCGTTTGGAGATATGAAAAATATAAATTAGTTAACTAAATTTTTTATTTTATTAACTAAATTTAGACTATAATGAAGTTTAAAAAGTTAAAAAAAAGTGTTCAGGATTGGAGCACTTCATGTGAAATTTAATTTTCCTAAATTTGTAATCGTTATGCTCGCAAGATTATAAAAATTGACTCAAAAATTTCTCGATGATTTTAAAGCCTTTGCTTGCGAACGTCCTGCAATGTTTATCTATTTTCCGCATATCAATGTCGCTTGAATTCTACACGGATTGTAGAGCCTTGTTTTCCTACTATTCTTAAATGTTTTAGAGCTTGGACTCTGACGTCATTCAAGACTTTCGGCATGACAACACTTATGTATTGTTGACAGCTATGTAATCTTCCGTACGTATATTTAATGGACGCACACGACAAGCTCGCTCTCTTAGTGAAATTCTCTCAGTGAAGACGCCATGGCACGGATCATGGTCTGCCTTAGCAGGACCGCTATGGAATAGTTGATATATCTCAACAGAGCAGCTAAGGAACGACTAAGCTTTCAGTTTCTTACGCGCATTCAACAGGCTTGTAGGTTCACTGTAAAGTATCAGTCATTACTCTACATAGCAACAATAAGCTAATAAGCCAACAGTGAAGCCACAATCATTATAATCATTTAAGTGCGCCATAGTTAAGTAGTCAAGAGTGTTGATTGCATTACAAGAATGAATATTAAATAATAAGCGCACCATCAACGCACTTATCACAGAATTATGTAAGACAATGAATTTCTGTGAACTTAATCGAAGGAGAAACCAAACATTGAAGGCATGTACACGTGTCGAAGGCGTGCAGTATTTTTAGTGAGTCAAAGGAATCTGTGAAAGTCGTACTGTTACGGGACACTGCTACTTGCCACACGTCCCCGGCAAGACCAGAATTCCCTTGCACATCTGCACGAGGCCTTACATTTCCTTTCTAAACAACTCTCAAGACCACGGGGTTATCTCAACAATTCTCACTACTATCGATGAATCGCTTACATATTTATAATTCAAACCAAAATAAACGTTACGAAAACCAACTGTGTTGACACTGCATCGAAGCATTACCTTATTCCCATTTTGCCACCAGTAAAATGGTGGGTATGGTCTAATCCAATCACGTCTTGGCCTCACGACTTCCGGGTTATTGGAATTCCGAATAAGTATAAAATATACTAGAATGTCCGTTAAACATATTATTCGGAATTGAAGCATTTTCCAAGACCTTTGTCTTCGGAAATTTATAAGCCTTCTAGTTCTCGAATTTTTTAAACATTATTTTTCTCGGAATTCTCCAACTTTTTAAAGCTTTGCTTTCCCGGAATTCTCGACTGTCCCGCGATGATTATCTGGTTTCCGCATAGTAACACCTATCAATTGTTATCAGCTAACTAATCTGCTATGTGGACATTTAAAGCAAGCACACCACGAGACGGTTTACTCTGAGTTGATGCATTAACCTCTCACCTATCCCCCTCCCCCATCACCATTAAACCGGTGGTACGGTCTAATCCACCCACCGTGATCTGCGATCATACTGGTGGCTGGAATTCCAAACATTTGGTCCTTAGAGCCGGATAGTAGAGCTAATGCATTACCTCAGTGTTAATACATGGAAGGACGTGTCATTTATCTAAGAGAACATAATTAACAAATTTATTGTTTCAAAACTACCATTATCAACATCTATCTCTCAATTGGTTCTTATCCTGAGATACTGATTCATCACAAGAAAATGGCAAACCATGAGAAGAAGGACCACGAGAACTCCACGAGCTCTGACGCATCCATAACTACAGAAGCAGAAAATCGTATGACTCGTAGCGTCACCGCCATGCGATTACAGCAAGTAAGGAGATAAGGTAAGAACTCCCAAGGTTCCATTGGGATATCTCCACCATAGAAGGCCAAGACGCTCGAAAACGAATCAACGAACTTTACAAGGCATTTAATGAGGCGCCGACATTGTCTGGTAGCTACAACCATACTAAAACTACTGTTATGTCACGCTAGTTCACTACAGCGCCGACAGACAGAGCCTAGCTCCCATAATTACTATTATGTTTCGTTATCGTTCTACAGTGATTACTAACTACTAATCTCACTTAGTCATTTAGTCACTCAGTCATATCAACGGCACCACTAAGCCACGTTCCAATCAGCCAAGAGCCAAGAGCCGAGAGCTCAGAGTTATGAAAAACGCGATTGTGCCATCAATCCTACTTAGATCAACTCTGCACCAACACATCACGAATAAGAAGATGAGGCTGAACCACTAAAAAACATTAATGTGACGCAAAAGACTACTAAAGGGACTGCATAACTGTCCATCAACTAAAGTAGACTTACTCAGTGTACAAAGGAAAACACAGGGAAGAATCACTAGGCGAATCCAACAATTAATAAAAAAAACATAGTAATCAAAAAATATAAAAAGCAAGTTGCTTCAATGGAAAACCGCACCCAGACACAATCATCCACAAAAATATCAGTGAGAACGTATCATTCACCCGTAGCAACGACTTTCCAAGGCCAAAGGATCACCATATGCACGTATTACCAACAGCAGTATTTTGTGACCAGACTTAAGCATTGTCAGTCACGGAGAGAAAATATTTCAAGGAGGAGCAAAGGCTGTGGCCTAACTAGCCTTACGCCTCACACCACTACGCAGCAGTACGACTGGAAACCCAATTCAACTACAGAACCGCTGCATGGCGGGCGGTTTCCCAGTAAAAAAAAGTCTCCAAGAATTCATAACACTAAATGTACGCAATCGTATTTAAGAAGCAACGAACGGAGAAGAAAACAGTCTTGTTGAAATACACAAGTGAAACTAGTGTCAGTAATATCTGTGAAGGTCAAACTCGTCTGAAGGAATCCCTGCAAGGTATATTATTATTATTACTCTTCAAATGTTATTACTGCTGGACAGCTATCAATATTATTTACATTGTTACAAATCATCGCCTAATTCTCGGGACCGCAACCCGGCCCATGTCTATCATAATTATCGATAGAGCCTGGCCTAAAAACCCTCTGACTTGAGTCCCTAGCAGACAAGCAAGAGACGGCGCCAATCCTGATAGTAGACCCCAGCCTAAATCTCAATTAGTACTACGAGACATCACCATTAAACCGGTGGTACGGTCTAATCCACCCACCGTGATCTGCGATCATATTGTTGGATGGAATTCAAAACATTTGGTTTGGAATGCCAAGAAAATTCCAGACTACAAAAAATATAACAAGACATACGTACATCAAGGAGTATGCACAATTCATAGCAGATCCTTGAAAAATCAGCAACAAAACATCACCATTAACACGGAGGGTTCGTAATGATGAACCATTCATCACAGGATCAGGTCAAGGCTACTGTATCGCTGTGAGTAAAACAAGTCTAAGGCATAAATTATTACTAATCCTTACAAGATTAGCATGACGCTATTATTAACATAGCAAAAACTATACCCACTAATACGGACTATGCATCATCAGTTGCTGATCCTTACAAGATCAACAACAATGTCATCACCATCAGCAAGGAGCATTTCGTATGGATAAACTATTCACCACAGGATCAGTTCCGAGCAACTGAATTGTTGTGATTGAAAATAGTATATACTATTCCATCATATAAATCCAACACATCAATAATATAATTGTATATTAACTATAATAAACCATATTTTAATAAAAATTTGTTTAAAACTATTTATTAAATATTTTGAATATTTTATTTTATCAAAATGTTTCATACTTTTAAGATGAAGTATATATTATCTTTTTCTCTAAGAATAGTAATGAGAAAATTGGAATACTTTCCAAATTAAATTACGAAACAAAAAAAAAAACAGAAATTAAAATTGAAAAATAAAATATTTTGCATTTAATTCTAATAATTATATAATATCCATATATGTTAAATTCTATATACGATAATTCATTTTTCAAATTTTTCTTATTTTTAAAATAATTACTATTATCTATATTGTTGACATTTTTTAAAAATTTTATAAAAACAAACTATTATTATTTTTTCAGTTTCAAATTAATTTCTAAAAACCTTAGAATAAAAAAATACGTTTATCATAGAAATACTATTGAATTTTAATATCATTAAAATTAAATAAGTAAAATAAGTAAAACAATAGACATTTAACCTAGGAATCAATTTTCTTTATAGCACAAATTATTGATTTCAAAGTAAAGAAACTAAATATATAAATTAAATTCTACATAATAAGTAATTTATTTATTAGTAATTTTATTCATTAATTTTATAATTTTACTTTTTCATTAAGATTTTGTATATAAAAATATATATTTCTAAATTAAATATTATTTATTTAATTACAATACAGTTTTTGGTCAGTATTATACATATTGCTCAATAAATGTGAAATAGGTATTTGTCCAATAGTGTCACAAAAAAATAATAGTTCAATAGCTTTTGAATTAACATGGTTAAGAAGAAATAGAAGACGAATCAACCCTAAAAATTTTACGTGCGAATGGCGTGATATTGTATAATCATAAAATGAATAAAATGCTTGTGAATGAATCATTTCAATTGTCTCTACTGCTAGAAGATTTGCCAAATCTGAAACGAAAAAAAAAAGATTATGTTCACATATTTTTCTTTTCTATTTTTTCTTACATTAATATATTTTTTAATATGCTATTCATAGATTTGTATGAAATATTAATCATGAATAATTATTAAATATTCAAATTCCGTGTAGTTTATTTTATATTAAAACTTACTTAAAGATCATACATGTCTGTTATCTTTATTATATGCACAGGGTCAAAGGAAATGAGTTTGACCTTAATTTTTAACTTCGCTTCATCAAAGTTACTTTTTATTTAGAAATAATTTAATCAATGCAAACTTTAACACAATATCCTGTTTTAATTACCGAGTTTTGGATAATTCTAGATGCTGTATCATTATTATCATCAATTATTGCATTATCTGCAACATATTTTGAAGCTATTCTTTATGCATTTTTCATATTACTATGAATTATTTATGCCTTTGTATCACATCTAATGCACAGTTGTTTTTTATTGCATATATCTTTTATAGTGGCATAATTCATTTAATAATTCTAATACATACTCCACATGAATCGTAAATCAATCAAATTATCATTTATGATAAAACTTGTACATTTATTATATCTGTGAAAATTACTGGTCTCATTATTTTCTAGTCGCATAACCTTCAAGGATTTATTGTTTAAAATACTAATTACCAAATGACTTCGCTTGTTTTTTAATTTGGTTATAAAAAAAAATAACTGTGAAATACAAGACTGACATTTACGGAAAAAATATAAAATTACATTATTTAGAATTCAAATGTAAATGTTAAAACTATATTTTATATAAAAAATAATATTTAATAATAAAAAAATGGTTGAACTTTGAAAATACGATTATTTTTATACTTATTGCTCAATATTGCTATATTTTTATTCTTTATATCATGTAATATATACAATTTAGCAACTTATATATATATATATAGCATAAAGTTGAATTGATTTATTTTACTGCAATAGCGTTATTTATTATACTTAAATAGTTTTTTAAACATATGAATGTTTTTATATTAAAAATCATTACAATTTTACATTATGATTATTGTAAAATTTTAAAAAAGGCATATTCAAATGACATCTTGAATTACTCTTGCTATATCAAGCCATAAAAAACAATTATAATTGATCATAGAACTTTATTCATAGAAAGGCATCTTTTCTGAAAATTTTGAAATTATTAATACTTATATGTTCCGATCTCCCTAATTAAATTGTTTATAACTAGCATTTTTTAACATGAATTTCGAAGGTTTAAAAAGTGAAAATTACAATATTTAAACTCTTAAACGTTAATTATAAAAATTGTTTCGAGAAGAAATTTCTTTCTTTAATATTAAATGAGTTATTGAATATTATATGAACATAAAATATAATAATTTAATTTTTGGAGGTATTGATATAAATAAAGAACTCGGAAATGTTTCAACAAGGGTCAGGATACATTTTCATATTTTATATCTTATATAGATAATATTTCAAAAAATAATCAATTAATTAAAACATTTGTGTATAATATAATTGTGAATATTACTGATAATAAATTTTATTATTTATAATATAATACAAATAAAACGACACCTTTATCTACTTTAAATTTGCATGAGGACTCAAATTTTATGTGTGAAATATTATTCTTTCTATTACATGATGCCTAATTAACTATTAAACCTGTTAAAATTTAAATTTATTTAGTTCTGGTAACTTAAATGAAAATAATTTTATGAATAAATTTCTCGTGATATTTTTCTAGTATAATACTATTATGAACATTTTTATCCTCATATTTTTGCTTCTTTTACTATGTTATTCCATTATTTCAATTATAATTCTTTATTTTTTATAAAAAAATTCTAGTTTTCTGGTATTCCTTACATTTTTTTCATTGAAACATGGTTTTCTATTTTTTATTTTTAATTTTTTTATCTCCATTACTATGATAAATTAAGTTAACATACAATTCGATAATTAGATTTAAAAATGTGAATCTTACAATATAACAATAATAGGTATAATTAAAAATGTAATACTTATAATATGACATTAATTCGTATACTTAAAAATAAAAATTTATACAAAGTGAATATCGCCTTACCTGGTGTAAATAGAACTACGGCTTTCATGCAACCACATTCACTTTCATCAGGCGAAAGCTCTTTAAATAAGTGTAATATTCTCTGAAAATAAAGAATTTAAATCTATAAATTCGAATGCATAATGCATATCAAATTAAATGTTACAGAAAATTTTAAGACTGATAGGTGCCAAAAATTGACTGTAATAAATTTTATTGATACTGACTTAAAAAATTCTAGTGTATATTTTAAGATGAAGGCCTATACGAGAAGAGTAAGGTATAATTTTTTTAGAGTTGACTTTTACAATACAATCATATATATATATACATTATTATATAATAATGTTTGTTCTGCACCTACAGATTTGAATTAGATTATAAGAATATATACTGATTATATATGCATTCACATAAAATATTCTTGCTTTAAATTATAAAATAATATTTATTTCTGCTACAATAATTATTCAATACTATCAACTTTGGTATAACTTTCATAAAAGAACCTGAGGCTTAATTCGTAAAAAATTAGCAATGTATATTAATTAAATTTATTTCATATAGTATTTAAATTGTTTTTAATTGAAAAGTTTAAAGATCAAAATAACTGTTATTGATTATGTCATAAGATATATTAAATTTATTACGTACCTAGACTAATCGTTTATAATCTTGTTTTAAAAAATGGAAGGTTTAAATGTTTACTTCAATGAATATTTAAATTTTATTTAAGATGTAAGAAACATTTAGAAGTTACATATACTATTGCTTACAGTTTATGATGAATGTGGTTTATTTAATTATTATTTCAAAAATATTAATTAAAATCTAACATAAGCCACGATAATGGTGTATATTTATTTTTTGTCATTTTTTTGTATATATAATTTATTCATTTTTGTTTATCGAATTTGATGGCACATAAAATCTTCGATTAACATTCAATAATATTTTTTATAAAAATGGTAATACTTAAAGTTGTTATGAAAATACATAAAATATTAATTGTTCAATATGTTAAATATGTTAAAGGAAATATGTCAATTCGATAAAGTATGTTGCAAATGAAATATTAAATTATCACATTCACTATACTTATTATCGTGAACTTTTTATATCATCATATGTACGTCATCTACTTTCATAAAATGTATAATGCAAATTAATGAACGGTGGTTGTTATTAGTATATGAACTGTAATAGATAATATTCTTTACATAGTTAAAAGGTAGTTAAAAGTAGAACATTCATAAAAAAATTTAGAGAATCTAAAAATAAATATGTTACAGAATGCTTTTTATGGTATATCTTATAAAGTGTATGTTTAATGATATGTGAAAAATTTATAAATAATTGGAAAAATGGCACAACTAATTTACATGAATTATGAATTTGTGATATTAAGAGCAAATTTTCGATGAAGATATTTTATTTATTATTTATTGAACTCTACTACAAAACTTTAAAAACTATTTTAATTTTGGCTAAATCAAAAAATATGAATTTAAATAATCTATTTATACTAATTTTATATGCAAGTACCTTTATAGTAATTAATTCGTGATAAAATGCACTATCTTGCAATCTTTTACAAACTTGTTCATCTTCTAGGATTTCAATAAGATTCCACGACTTAGACCATTGAGCTAAATGAACTAGAAATAATTGAGTCCATGCTTCTTCTAATAACACACGTCGATCATTTTCTAATAAATTTTGAAACGGTATTATGTCTCTCATCCATTGTACAATCATAAATAATAATTTAGCTGCAGTTTCCTGTAAATGATATATTAAATATGTGAAATTCTTCTCATACATTTATAAATAATTAATTTATAATGTATATTTCTTATTATAAAGCAAATATTATTAATAATAAATTGAATTTTAATAAAAATATGTAAACAATACAAATAATAATATTTTGGCATTAGTAAATCTGTGATATAGGCATAAGTATGAAATTTGTGGAAGTTATTATTACATACTGGTATTGTAATGATAGCTACTTTAAACAAATATATAACGGTAGTAGTCGATATAAGAAATATTCTTTAGAATATCTATTTAGAAATCTTACAAATCCTCATTAAATTTTTCAAAGTTTCATTAAAGGTTGTGATTGTTTAATAGTCAATTTAATTATAAAAGTAAAAAACTGTGTAAAAGTGTTATCAATTAAATCATTTATTTAAACCACTGCCGTTATTTGGTAAAATAATTAAATAATAGCTGTAATTTGTTTCGAATATCGTACTGTTCTTTCCGTCTCATAATAGTTTAATTATTCATTAACTTATTCTTAATGTTTTGTTCTTTACAGATTGTTATTGTTTTGCAGATTGCATTCTTGTAGTATTATTATACGAATCTTTGTGTAATTAATTCTTACTATTAAATATAATTTGAAGACATTAATTTAAATTTTATAGTGCTTGAAAATACAATAGCTTGTTCAACACAACTAGAAATTAAATGGCAAATTATTTTATACAAAGTAATTATAAAAATCATTACATTCATCATTAAATATAGCAAATAATAGACTTAAAAATAACTTAATTAAATAGTGAAACCAAAATAGGTTTATAAAGTATTATATAAGTACTGATATTATATGTAATTATAAATTTAAGAATGCAGGTATAAAAATTATTTATCTACTTCTAAAGCATATTTATATAACTACATAATATTTCATAATTATATACATCACACAATTCAAAAATAAAATAAAGGCAATTTAAACATAAGAAAAGAGATAGTGAACGAAAATTATTTAGCAATTAAGAAATAATAAGACATTTCAATTTTTGTCTAGAACACGGTTGTTACATCTGTTTAATGCTTTTAGTGTATGGTTACATTTATTCAATTCATTCATTAAATTCTATTTAATTTAAGTATATATAACTTAGTATGAATTTGTAAACATTAATTAGGCAAGAGATTTGTGATCTTTTACAAATTTGTTATAAAAATTTTAAGTAAATTACTGTTGATGCGGTTTTACCCTTGATTATAATGTTTTTTAAACGTCTAAAATTAATAAAAAAATTAATAAAGAAATAAATCTTATTTATTTGAATTTTAATTGATTACAATTTAAGATTATTACTATAGTCACTATATATCCATTTGTCACAACGATCTAATGAGTTGAATAGAGAAATAGAGAAATAGTGGATAGTAATATCTTATTCTATTATAATATAAAGTTGTATCTTGCCTCTTTTTAAAATATTTGATTAAATTCTATAACTAAAAAGATGATTTTTACCCTAAAATATCATCAAAAAAATTTGAAATTTGAAATTTTGAATAATAGGGAAATGATCTATTACTTTCCTATTCTATTTCTTAAGCCAATTATTTTTATATTTAATCAAAGTATGCTGTAAAATCTTAATGATTTTAATTCAGTATTGATTTTTTCTAAATGTTAAATAATTAGAATGGTTGGTACGAACAAAAAAGTTTAAAGAAAAATGTATTTGTATAATAATAAACTATTTTTGATGAATTGGCCTGAAATTTTCAAAGAATTTAATATGATAGAAGATATGAAAGTGTGATTGGTTGTAAGATTACGTTTGATTTTGTATTCATACATACATGCCGTATATACATTTTTCTATTAAAAAGTGGTACATACATGACTGTTCAGAAAAGCTAATATCAATTTATGTTATTTATTCTATGTAACTGTACTTAAGAATTTTAGAGTATTATGATATCTATGATATTTAACACTTTATAATCATGTAACTAAATATTTCTGTGATAGGATGATTATAATTTACGTATACGATCAAAACACGCTTATGGGAGTATGACGAATAATATAAGTTTACTTGTATCTTTCTGTTTGGAATCAAAACTAGCTTTTACAGTTATGTAAATTCACAGTTCACTGGTAGATTTATTTCTTATATATAATATAAAATTATGCCTTATAATATAACTAACTTATTTATGGAATTATATTTATTAGTTTTTTATTTAATTTAATGAATAGAAAATAATTTGTAAAAATATCAATTATAAATAACTTTTCTTCATTGGGTAATTTTTTTATGTAATAGATTATGCAGGTAACAAATTATTATTCTATTATAGTGTTTAATAAAATTTATTCTATATTGATCTTTTCTCCTTAAGCTCGCTACTATATTCTTGGTAAACAATGTTTTATATTAAAACTCAATTATTTATATCTAGTATAGTTATTTTTTAAACAATAAAATATATAATTTATTCAATTACATTATGAAATTGATAAATTAACTGAAATTCTAACATAATTTTTTATTAAGCATCTTTTTTATAATATTATTTTAAATTTAGTTACATTAAATTAGTAACATGTAACTAGATTTTTTATTGTTTTACAAAAGGTATTCAGTGTAATATATATATATTCTAAGCATATCAATAATTATAATAATTTTCTTATTTATTATCGACTAAGAATAATTAATTTTAATAATCCATAGATTTTTAATATAAAATACAATACACTTATAAATTATTTTTAGAATTATGAAAAACTAGTTTTTTTAATTAATTTTTTAATTCAGTGCATAAATAATTATTATATAAACTATATAATAAGGTACTAACTTTTAAGAAATTATTATTGGCATTCACATTACTTCTGTATACAGAAATGGAGTTCTGTAAAATATATCTAAATAAAGAATAATTTTTTCTTGGAGCACTTAATAAATTGATTATTTGTTAAATAAAAATATGGATTATGTAAACATTAACACACACACACACACACACACACACACACACACACATTTTTAATAAAAGATATGATGTAATATAGTTTGTTATATTACTAATGTGCGATATATATTAGAAAAATAAAAAAAATTAAGAGTTTCGGATTAAAAAGTGGAATTGTCAAAATTAATAACGAACTCTGTCATAAATTGTAAAAATCGGGTCTGAAGATAACTCAACTGTTATCCAGACATGAATGAAATCGCTTTACACTTGTTGATACGATTTAGGATTGCCTGGAACATATCTTATTATATATAAAAAATAAATTCGCACAAAATAGAAGTTCACAATGAACATTGATATAATGAGAAAACAAATTCAATCTTTTTAGAAAACCTTTTCAGAGAGTTCTTTAAGAGATTTTCGTAAACGAAAATATCTCATAGAACTATTGCCATTAGAATGACCTAAACAATTAGAACTTAAATTATACTAAAACAAAATTAATTTCCCTGCATGAAAGGAAAGAAAAAATTATTTCCTAAACTTTGTGTGTAAATAAATAAAAGAATCAGTAATGATATTAAAAACAAATACTATAATATTATTTATTTTTATTTAATAATAATCTTCAATACCCTGATATATATTTTAAAACAAAAAGTAAATATATTATATTTTATATAAAATAAAGCTTTTTTGTTTGTTTGAAAAATAATTCACGGATGTGTTATGCACGTTTTATGTATTAAGAATATCCGTTGGTTGCAAAATAATGAAATTTTTTTATAATTTTTTATCAAATTTTTCGAAATATATTATTTGTCAATGATTGTGTTAGAATTATTTTCATATGTATTCGTTCTATGATCATTATTGTGTGATAAAATATGAATGAAATTAATATTATTAATGAATATAAACTGATAATGGTAATTCATTCTTAAGATTTTTGTGCATTTATCACCTATTATGGATAAAATTTTATAATATATAGACATATTTATAATAAAATTATTTTTTGTTCTGTTGTTTTAAATTTATGTTCCTGAACGCATTATATAACAGTGGTTGTTCGGAAATTTTTTTATGAAATTCGTCTTTTCCCAGCAATTTTTTCTCGGAATTACTTAAAGGAAAAATGAAAGATCAGATTTATAAATAGTTTCCCTAAACATTAAATTTTAATTATTTCTACAAATAAAGAATACGACTGTTTTACTTGATACTTAATTCCAAATACATTATTTATTAGGTTCCATTGTGTCATGAACTTATTTTGAACATGAACATGTTTGTTATAATAGCGAATATGAACCAAATGAGGTAATAAATATTAAATTAAGAAAAATTTATATAATTATTTACAAAAATTGTAATTTTGACAGATAGAATGATATTCTCTCGGTAAATGAAATTTAAGATCGACAAAAAAAATGTTAAAATCATTACTGCCAATAAAATAGATTGCTATTAATAGATACACTATAATGATCTTATTAAAAATATTTTTTAAATGTTAATTAATTTTAAAACTCATTAATGTTGTTTATTGAATAATCATATTACTTATAAAATAATATTTGGTTTTTAAATAAATATTAATTATCATATTATAAATAATTTAGTAATAAACAATATAGAAATAAAATTAACCAATTGCTAAAATATAATCTTTGGCAAAACGTACGTATATTCATGATAAACTTAAATGGCTTGTAATTACATGAAATTTATTAATTAGATACGAAAAGTTTAATGTGGTAGATTATATAAATAGGATTAAATTAAGTCAAAAGTACAATCGCATGTATTGTTCTTTAAATAATAAGTATGATAAGAATGATTTCAAAAACATAGACGAAGAGGAACCACGTTTGGTTGCTTTAGTTAGAAATAAAAATTCACTGATTGAATAGAAAGAGAAAAAGAAGTTCGTGTGTCGCTCGTAATATCAATGAGTGATTATAATTTATCATTTGTTTATGTTAGTTAAAATAATGAAATACTTTTCAACAATAACGGCGTATGATATATAC